CCCCAAAACCCCAAAACCCCAGGCTTCTGAATATTGGACGATTATCATTTATTATGAATAGGTAATTAATATTGTTTAATATAATTATTTTTTGTAAATATCAACTAATGTCACAAAGGATGAAGAGCATGAGCAAAATATTCCAAAGCTTTGAAAACTAATTAGCCCAGTTCGGGCGAAACCACATTGGCACTTATTAAGCAGTAGACATGGAATTAATGTATACATCCTAGAGACTCCAGCAAGCTCTTAGTAACAGCTCCTAACAAATGAATAATCTATAAGGGGATGAACTTGTCCTACATGAGATGGAGTCACAGCATAATAACTATTGCCTAGTACCCTTTAACAACTAAAACGCTATGAGAAATAGATTCATTCAATACAACTCCAAATTCTGAATAATTATAATTTGAACGTCGATCTCTGTTTCTAAAAATGAGAGTGTGACGGTATTCTAAGTGATTTATAGAACGATTTTGTAAAATAATTGACAATTAATGATTCTTGAAAGATTTCAGAGTCAAAACTATTGCTAATCTACTTAAGGGATGATGTATCAAACATTTAATTAATTTCTTAAGAATCAAACAAAAACTAACTAATTTTGCCCCATTTAACTTCGTCTTATTTAACCTAATTAATCCTGTTAACTTATTCTATTCACTAAGCTATTAACTCACTCAATCTCATTAGTTATTAGAATCAAATTTCTTTTTGAATTCCAAAGCCCAGTTCACATAGGTGGAATTCGCTATTGAGTTATTCTAGTTCTCATGATTGCGCTCGTGCTTATTGCATGCTCTCTTTTCTTTATATCTCATTATGCAGTAGCTACATTTGAATGTTTTCTCATCATTAGTATGCTTATATCGTATATGCTAACTCAATGTGAATTTTCTAGAAAATGCCTATTCACACTTCTCACATTTGAAGCTTCAAAGTTTCTGATGCAAGCTTCTCATATGATCCTTAAGATGTGAAGAGGTCCTAAATGTCTTATTACATTGTGTGCATTTAAACGGTTTCAATCGTGCATGTATCAGTTCATGTGACTTTAAATTGCCCTTTTGGCCAAAGCTTTTCTTACATATTTTGCATCAGAATTTCGACTCATGCTGCACCGCATGAATCTTTAATTATAGTTTGCTGTTAAAGCTTTTATCACATTTACTGCAAAAGTACCTCTCAGCTTTGTCCTCTTGATGCTTGGCAGTACAATGGTTTTTAAGATGATGTTTCTTCTTGAAACGCTAGTCGCACTCCTCACAAGTATACTTCCTTGAAGCATTTATTAGTCTATTATGTGCCAATATCTCGCTTGCATTTTTGAATCTCATTGAATTGTAGCATTTATATTTAAAGTGCCTACAGCGCAAGGTTTAACCAGAATTAAGAGTAATATTTCTTAATGACCCAGTTTTACTGACTGGCAGCGATTAACTAGGCATTCTTTCGATAAAACAACTTTAATATTCATTTACCTCTAAACATTAATATAAATTAGTTTCATCACCTCAATGTGGGATCTCGGGGTTTTGGGGTTTTGGGGTTTTGGGGTTTTGGGGTTTTGGGG